TAATTGTTGGAAGGTAGTATCTTTCACTTGAAAATACTTAAGTATTTGAATATTCCCATTCAGCAGCCTTATGCAGCAAACATTTGCAGAAGCCAAGGTTGCTTAACAGAGCTTACAGTCATTAGCAAATATTAACTTAATAGCATGTATGGACACCTTATTTTCAACCTGCAGAGCCTCCTTTGATATCAAGATACTATGCACTTGTGGATTCAGACTAAACCAGGCCAGCAATTAGCACGTGTAAAAACAATTCTACAGAAAACCACTGCTGTGCTTTGGACAGTCTCTAGTAAATTGAAGGAATTGAAGGAAAAGCTACATCTCCTCATATGTTTCTTGAGTCCCTTTTGGACAGACCTTTTCCCAGTTTTTCTCATTATTTTTCCAGAAAACCTGGCAATACTGAATCACCACAGGCTGTAACACCTCCCCTGTTGGACAGTATAAACTGTTCAAGAGAAGCTGTGGCACTGGATAGAAATAAGGCTGCCAGTTCTACTCCAGTTCAGACTCCAAACTGTACTCCTGTAAGTACACAAAACATACCATGGAAACTACTCTCCTGTAGGAATTCAAATATTGCTCTTTCATTTGAACTAACAGAATTACATTTGTACGGATCTAGGCTTTTATTAGCCATTTGTGAGCATATTGACTAGAAATGTTGACTTTGATTTCAGTTAACTTTTGATACCTGGATTTAAGATCATTGGAAAAATCAGAATACTCCAAAAGTTTACCACAAATTCCTCCAGGAACAGAGTTTGAAAATTACTTACTCGTGTTATACAGCACAGTTTCTGATTTGAGAGCTCCTCAGCAGTGTATATTGAATGGTAGTCACAAAGGTTATGGGCACTAGAGGCTGTTGTTCTGAAATAATCAAGTGTTAGTGTGTATATAAAAAAAGGGTAAGTGAAAACACATGGGTAGCCAATAAGGCTTTGTGAGCAATTTCATCTAGTTTGTTTAAAAGACCCACCAAGCTTTGGTTCCTGCATCACAGCCCTGATAAAACTTCCTTAACTGACTGGGGAATAAATATATGTGTATATATATATATGTATAGGGGTCTTGGCACACAGAGTTTGTATCATCTGAACTTTGTTGAATCTACATCAGTCTGCATCTCTGTTCTTTGATTGTGTAGCTCATGTCGTTAGTGCAGAATCTGACAACTTTCGCTTGAGTAAGGTGAACCTGACAACAAAAATTCCTTAGGGCTTCATCACTGGTATTGATTTTCACACTGACTGAAGGTTACCTATCGTTGGAGTTCTAAGTTGAGGGTTTAACATTCAAACTCAGTCTCTATTTGCCATACAGCAAACATTCCAGTCTTTAAGAACTATATCTGTAGTTTCCTTGATAGTTGAACTAGATCTATATATCCTGAGGTGTACAGCTTGTTGTTTCTTCCAGGTTCCTGTAATTATCTGGATCCTGATCTCTTTCCTGACCAAACTCTCCTATTTGAGGCATTCCCTGATTTGCATCTTTTCACTGAACCTGAATCTTAAACACTGCTAAGCACAGCACCTCATCTCTGTCATCTCTGTGACTGTGGGAGGAGGTATCTGAGTAGTGGAACATGTTCCTTGTAGGGAGTAGTTGTGGTGTTGTCCTAAAGATCTCTGACGTTTCATCCTCTGTTATCCTTAATTCATTGCTTTTGTCTCTCTAAACCTATAACAGATTCTGTATGTGCTACAGAACTCATCTATTAACGTTTTATGTTCTAGTTTCCAATTAATAGCAATGTCTGTACTTCTGTAAAATATTAGCTGAGTGCTCATCTGAATGAGGGCTGCTTTATAGTTTAATGTGCTGAAAATGTTCTGCTGAAGCTGGACAGGGTTTTCTGACAGTAAAAACACAATTGAAGTAGAAAACTTAGGGAAAGCAATTCCTTTGTGACTACAGGGAGATCTCCTACAAAATCCTGTGGGGATTTTATACTGTAATGCTGTTAAATGAAGCATACAAGCTAAATCTGTCTGTATATATGAACAGGTGGTAATTGACCACTAAGCTAGTACATAATCAGTATTAACTAAGGCTTTATTCTGTGCATCCCTGGGTTCTAGGTGGTGTATGAAAAGCCTACATTTATGATCAACACTGCTGAAACTATGTGCTCCTCTGTTCATCAAATGGAATGCAGTCCAAATTCAGCCCAACTTGTAAAATCTGTCTTTGTGAAAAATGTTGGTTGGGCTTCTCAGGTGAGAAATTAATACTGATAAAGGAGGGAAGTCTGTTCTTTTTTCCTATTAAATTTGAGATATGTATTTGTCAGTCATTAACTTTAAACTTGATTTGTGAGGAATCATTCAGTTGTGCTTTGCTACAGTTTAAATCTAAAATGTGTATGTGGAAAGATGCTTTTAAATAAGTGTCTTAGATAAATACCATGGTGACTTACATAAGTAGAAGAAACCAAAATAATTGTTTAGTATTTCAGTTACCAAAATTTTTCTGTGGCTATTATTGCCTATTTCAGTGTCTTCTGTCATTTAAATTTGACTCTAGTAAAAAATTGAAACTGTTAAAGTTGTCTGTTCACTAATATAGATGTAAAGGTGTCATAACAAAGAATTTTTAACACATGTGTATCAGATCCGTACAAGAGAAATGAATCTGCCTCTACAACAGGAAAAGCTGTTTCCTTACAATGACATTTTCCTTCTGCTTTTCTGTGGGAGCAGCTTTAGGTTTAAAAAATATGGCAATTCAGATAAAACTTCCTGTCCTAACAGAAAAAAAGGTTGCTTTATATACATAAACTTTAAAGTGTGTGTAGCTGTGAACTCTCACAAATGGACCTCTATTTTATGATTGGTTCTATTCAAAATTTCTTAAGGAGTGGTTAAGTTAAAAGTAATTCTTTAACTCTCATTGACAAGGATGACTTAAAGCTGAGCATCTGAAACATTAGGAAGTTTACATGAGACTACTTACTCCAAAGTAGTATCCATGCAATCTTTATCTTTAAAAGACTGACCATGATACCTAAGTACCTTCAGCAACTCTGAAAAACTTTCAGCTTCAATTATTAGAAAAATTCTAGGTATGTAATTTTGTATTTCATATCCTCAAACCATAATGCAACTTCTCTCGTTAGCTGACCAGTGGAGCAGTGTGGGTTCAGTTTAATGATGGATCCCAGCTGGTAGCCCAAGCAGGTGTTTCTTCTGTCACTTACACATCTCCAGATGGCCAGACAACCAGGTGAGTCTGTTCCTGCTATAAAATAGTCCAGGTAATGGTCAGTGCAAGGCTGATTTTGGTTTGTAAATATTAAAACTTAGCTTTTCAATGACTTCACAGTTGATTAGCTTCTGTAATCTTAATAAATACAGAGAAGTACCCATAGCTTTGGCTGAACTCTGGATAACAAATTAATAGAACAAGCTGGAAATGCATCTACTTGATCTCCAGAGAACAGCCACTATTTATTTATAATATTTAAAACGGGAAAGGTGAGAAACTAGTGTTTTGAAATAATTATATTATTTTAAAATAAAATTATTTAAGCATCTGTATTTTTCTATGCTGCTGTGCTTCTCTAGGTATGGAGAAAATGATAAGTTGCCAGAATACATCAAAGAGAAACTGCACTGTCTGTCTTCTATTCTTGTGATGTTTACCAGTCCAGCTGGTCCTCACTGATTAAAGCAAACTGGGTGTCACGTCATGAGACCTTAATAAACTCACTCACTGACTTTTAAGTAAAGTGACTGATCTTACTCAGTTTATGCAGAAATTCTTCCACTATCTGATAGAAAGGTGGGAAGGGTTGCTCCGTTTATGTATAGCAAATTCTGTATAAAGTATCATACAAAATATGCTTTTTCATCAAAATGATGGATATGCTTGCTCAAGCAAAACTTAGAGCAATTAAGTTTGACCGCATTAAGTTTTTGGAAATAATCTGAATCTGTTGTGTTTTTTTTTTCTTGCCCCACTGCTTAGTCAGTGTGAACAGTCAAGGAAAATGTATCTGTGCTGTTGAAGTATTTGTAAATAACTTATATTTTTATGTGTTACAGTAATATATGTAAATATGTATATGTTTTGTAACTTGTTTTTTATTTTTTGTAGCAGCAGCTTAAACTTCCCTGCACAAGCATTTGATACAAAAAAAAATAAATGCAGTGGTAATTGTCCGGATCTATTTATTTGTTTCATGATCAAGTGAATGGTGAGAGGAAAAGGCTCTCAAAGTATTAAGCTCAACTTATGACAGGAGCTGAGCTGGTATTTTAGAGAAAATCATACGTTGGGAATTTAGGGCTGGGTGAAGCTTGGGAAGAGACAAGTCTTTAACTGTTGCACAAAGTTACTTCTAACTTGTTGAACTAAAAAATTGTGCTGTGCTTTGTATATTCCATATTTTATCTCTGGCCTACAGATCACTAAACCCAGGAGCACAGGTGATGGGAAAATAAACACATGCCGTAGTAACTGATTTGGTTTGTTACTTGGTAGGAATTATTAACTTTAGATAGCTTTACCTTGTCTTACACATTGAGTCACACTTAAAACAACTGAAGTAGCATTAACAGTAGCATTTTGCTTCAAGTGTGCCAACACTCCTGATGGTGCTTATATCTGTACTTAAATACTCTTGACTTCCTTCTAAGGCAGGAGAAAGTGGGATCCAAAATGGTGCTGGTAGGGGGAGGATGAAGAGTTTCAGAGGAGCTGGTGGTGGCTACATGCAAGCACAGCTCAGCTTAGACCTAAACTAGCCTTGATTCAAGTCAGTTCTCCTTATTTGTCTAGTGTCTAAAAGAGAGAACGTGGTTTACTTTGTCATGCCCAAATCAAGGAAATAGCTTGCAAATGAATTTAGCACTAGGAACATCAAGGAAGATATAGAGGTAGTACTTATTATGAATAAGCTTATAAAAGTGAAGTCCTTTCTCATAAGCTTTTGTGATTCTGCAGTAGGAAAGTCCTGAGAGGGAATAAGACTTCTGTATTTCCTTCAGTCAGTATTGGAAAAATCATCTTTTAATTCAGTAGTCTTTTAGTGTTTGAACAACTGATTACGTAGGAACATGTAGGAATACATAATTACACTTATTACATTTAATAAGCATCAAATAGTAGAGACATTAAACAGCAGCCATGACTCTCATTGCTCCAGTGAGTAATTCCGTTTTTTTTCCCCAGTAGTATTAAAACAGCTAAAATCAACCTGTATCGAAATGCTTAGGCCCTACTATGAGGGAAAATTACAATTTCACTTTTTAAAATAACCTCTGAATAATTAAAACGTTGGAAATTCCTGTCTCTTGTACCTTGTTACCTGTATAAGTCTAAGAGTAAACACCCAAGGACTTTTCTCCTTTTACTTAATTACTACGCCCGCTCAGCACAGTGCATTCATTCTCACAAGTGACAACAAAAGTGTAAAGTATTGTGCTTAGTCTTTCCTTCTTGTAGTTAAGAAAAGCTGTGCATATTTGAACTTGGGGCAGGTTTTCTTTCTTGCTACAAAAAGGCAATCAGCAAAACAGGAGAGGAAAAATTGCACATATAGTTCACCATAGTTCAAATAACAGCTGCTGATACTATTTTCAATGGCTCTTAACAAACCTAAAGACCCAAATCCCACACAAACTACTTCTGCAGAGGGCATCTACATTCCTCTACACTTCTGTCACACTTCCTTTGAAATCCTGGAGATGTACTACTAGGTAACAGGTTCTAGAATCAAACAGTCTGTATTAACCAGTGCTTACAAACCAACAAACCAAACATCAGAAGGTTTGCTCAAGTAGTGATGTCTCCATACAAAGTGCATGCAGCTCAACTAATCATGCAGTTACAAAAGAGTTACTAATCCTGATTCACAGAATCAAGATAACATTTCTTTTACTTCTTCCTCAAAAGGATGGCCGTAACCTGTGACCAGCTGCATTCAGTGCACGGGTGCATCATTTAAACTGTAAACACATCAAATGTGCCATTGTACCGATCCAGTCTGCCACATCCCTTCCTCTGCTGCTAGAAAAGCAGAACACAAAAGCTCTACTGCAGCAGGTGTAACCATACATTGGGATATGAACAAGTTATGTATTCTGTCAATGCATAAGTACAGGTGTACAGTTGTTAGCACACAGCCAGCAAGGTCAGTGGTTATGTACTCCTTGTTAAAAAGCAGTAATAAACTAAGTATTACTTCTGGTTCATTTTACTTTTTCTTTAAATGCATATCTAACAATTCTCTTCTTGCATCCTTCCGTATCTGACAGAAAATGCAATTAGTCTCTTGTACACTATCTCCAAGAGTAAGAGAGAGAGTACAACTACTCCACAGATTAAGCTAAATGCCCAGCGTGGTCCCAGGTGAGTGTATATTTGGCTCACAAAAACAGGCCCAAGTATTCGTGCTCCACTTCCAGAGGCAGTTAACCATCCCATGTAGACACCCTACAGCAGATCAAAAGCTTAGGTTAGTGATACAGGAATTCTTTGGCTTGCCAGTAATTCCAACCATTATCCTAATCAGAAAATGTAAAAGTATTTAAATAATCACTTATCTTTCTTAACTCATTAAAATACTGATTACTTTGTTTCCAAGAGTAGTGCTCAGCCTCTCTAAGCACTAATTCAGAGACTCCACTCATACATACTCTACAGCTTTCCAATAAAATGCATTCTGACTCAAAGCATTTAGTCTCTTTCACCAAAATATAACATGAAAAAAAATGTAAAAAAATAATAAAATGTTTTGTGAAGCAGTAATATCAGCTTGCTAGGTGTTTTACCACTATAAAATATCAATAACTGGGGGCATTAGTAGCATTTATACAATTATAGTCATACAATAAACTTAGTAAGAGGAACATTATTCCATACTGATATTCCAAGTATATAATGAGTTGTTAAAAAATGATTCTTCCAGAAAAGCCATGAAATTTTCACATTCTAAGACTTGCATAAATAGCATAAGCCTTGCTTTCTAATTCCTTTAGGGACTTGCCCTAGATTTTAAGAGATTAGAGTTCCAGCAAAGTTCTACCCTGGTTGAAATGCACTATTATTTGGCTGATGCCAAAAGGAATTTTAAGTAGACCCTTCATTCTAATGAAGAGGGTGTAAGTCTTGGAGAGCAAATGAAATAAACTGTTTAGGGATCATGCTTACCTGAGGCTTTGGTCCTAGGATTTTTGAGTATAAAGTGTAGGACATGACATTACAAACAGGATAGCCCAATCCTATGAGCACATCAGAACTGAGGTACTGGGCCAGGTAGACCATCGGAGTATTGAGGCACCAGGACTGTGTGAGGGGGCAGCCCACGGGTTCTGCTGTGTGGTTGGATGGCAGCTGCATCTCTTGCAAACTCCAGAAAGGCATTAACATTTCAGTGGGAACTGTTCTGGGAATGGAGTTATTCTTTATTTCTGTAAAAATAAGTTATCCATATAGTTAAGAACAAAAATACAATAAAAGCTTTAAAAAAAAATTACGAAGATGGGTTAGTGTGACTTGAACTATACCTTGCCACTGGATATTTGGTAGTTTCTTCCCCCAAGGCAGTAAGATAAAGAATCCAACCAAGACAATCAGTAAGCCTCCATGGAGTATGGCACGCTCACCAGTCCTATCCAACAACAAAATTGCAATTAAATGTATAATTTAAATTAAAATTTATGTCTCTGCTAATGACATAGTCCATTAGTTTGTAGAAATGATACCTGACCAAAACATCTGCAAGAAAAATTACAAAATCACAGTAACTTAAAACCTCTTTTTCTTAGGATTCAAGTGTAAAAGACAGTCAAGTAATGGGGTTATGTTAACAGAATAAAGAACAACCACAACATCATGGCTGTGCCAAAATTGGAAGTACTTCATTATCATAGTACACCCAGACACATTACCAAGTGAAAGATTTGAGTAACAGAGATTTGGCCTTGCCATAAAGCTTTTCATACTTACTAACATAATAAAAAAATTCCAAAAACTTACTTTTTTGATAGCGTTTTAACCACCATGAAAACAATAACTGATTCAATGCCAATCACACTAAGGATTATTCCATTATAGAAAACAGCTTCTTTCCTTGTCCAGGAGTACATATCCATCGTCAATGGAGTAGCTATACTAAAATGACAGAACAAAAATACAGTAATTAAAAAAAAAGCTGCTTCTATACAGTTGTTTCCATACACATATTGTCCCAAATATCAAACACAGTGGTATAGAAACCTTTCCTCTTAATGGGCATATCAGAAAACACAGGCTAATTATAAAATAATTCTGTCATGCATCATCTATTAAAATTAAATTCACTAGACAAAATTCACAACTGCATTACAGCAGCCATACTCTGAAGCATCATTAATCTATTTCCAATAGTTCACGAAAAGATGATGGAGTTAAAGCCAAGCCATAGTAATAGAGATTGAAAAGAAACTAGACCCTGTGAGTATAAAAATAGTAAGCTTTTAATATTGTTTTTCAGTTTTAGGAGCCAACCAATTTCTAGGAACTCAGTTTTCTAAAAATAATGTAATTAAGACATTATTTACAATATGAGCCATATTGTAAAAGAAATTTTAGCCGTATCAGAGCTCAAAAAACTTGCAGAATAACTTATATCCTCAAAGTATTTTGTAAGTTAAAAAAATGAAGTACACTTCAGTTTGAGGTAATTTTGTTATTTTTTACTTATTTTCTTACACACAGAAAATTTGGGAGTGAATATCATACCTCTTCAGGTAAAAAAAGCCCAGTCATATAAAATAGTGTATTTAAGAATACAGTTGCATTAACTATATGAAACAATTGTTTTAATTATTACTGAAGTAAGAGATTCACTGAAGCTTTTGGAGCTAATCAGAATCATACTAAGAAATTACACAAAATTAAAATAAAAAGTATAGAACAAGATACTCAACTGAAGATGTGGTTTTCTCTAAGGATTTTAGGTAGCCCAAGGTAAGCTATCTTTTTTAACACACCTAAGAAATTGAGGATATGGGTTTGTCTCCGATTAAAAGCTTTTATATTAATGTTTCCTATACCACAGACGACATATTTTTATGCTAACCTTTAATTCATTACTTTGTATCAGTACATATCAAACTGTTTATATATGGTTTTGAACTTATATTTATGAAGAGTTGGTTTAAGAAAATGAGTGGAACAGAAAAGACTTTATATGCACCCCCAATCTAACTACCTTACATGCCTAAGTATTTTGAGAGAAAATATACAAACTTACGTTTCAAAGACAGCAAACACAAACAAGATGACAAAGAAGAGAACATTGAGTGCTACCACAGCAACATGGTCAACGTTTCCTTCTGTGTCCTGATCCAGGGCATCATTTTCTGCAACAGAACAAAAGAATTATCTAAACTGCAAGCTGAGCTTTTTTTGTACCGCCACAAATTACAAACAGTAATGATTTCTTTAGTTTCTTAAGTATTTAACATGCAGGTTGGTGGGCAGCTAAGCAGTTATATTTTGACAATCTAAGTATAAAGTTTTTAAATCAAAATCAACTTGTTGAAGCTTCAATTCTTCTCACAATTAGAGAAAATTATTTCCAAATGGGTTACCCCATCTGTTTTCCTAGTGACTGACAAGTCCTGAGTGACAGCAAAATAAGCAAACTACTTTAAATATCTTATCAGTGGAAACCAAAACACTTGTTGCTCTTGCAAGGTCAAAGCTACACAGAAGAATTCTCAGTGAAAGTCTGGAAGGATCCATACAATTTTTTTTTCTTCTTTGCTACCTGACAGCACTATGGATACAACATGGATGTGAAACAATTTCTGGACCAGTCAGAGAGACATGTAGCCTATTTTCCACTTCAAGTTTCCAATGCATCAGAATACTTCTAAATGCTTAATAATAAGAAAGTACTTCAAAATTATAATCACGCAAGAAGTTTTCAAGAAAACATGGGTACCTTCTCCTTCAGAATTAATACTTTTGCACTGCCGTCCCATGTCATCCACTCGATGCTCCCTAGAAATTTAGAATTGTTTTCATTAATACACATATTTATTTGATCTACTGTTGAGTCAAGTTTCTATTAAAATAACTGTAAATGGCATCATCTTATATGATAATTATTCCCAGCTCCCTTAAACATCATTTGTGAAGCTTACATTTGACTGCAGTGAACACCATCCTGTTCAAGAAAGAAAATATTCTAGTGAGAGATTATCACATATCCATATGCATCTACAGTAATGGGATAATTAATAAAAATCCCCCCTCAAGATTCTTAAAGGAAAGACAAAGACAGTGAGATTCCTACAGACAAGCCAACCTTATTTTGCTTTAGATAAAAACATGGGCAGGAACCATCAACACTAAAACTATATCAAGGTTAAGCTACTCCTCCACAAGCTTCAAGTTTTTTAATCAATTTACATTCTAACTGTTAATATCACCATGACTGATTTATAAGCATAATGAAAATATAGATATTAAAGAATGTAGAAACACCGAAAAAATAAATAACAGCTTATAGTTTTAGCACTCCAGATTTCAGTTTATTTATTACTCTTCCTGCTGAGCAGCATATTCTTTGCTACAAATTACCCACAAAAACAAGGTAAAATTTTTTTTTTACTTGATTACCTGAATATGGCAAAGATGAGAATAATATTAATAACTCCTAAGAGAGCTCCAAATAAAACCGGTGCCGTATACATGTTCAGCTGAAGACGAATTAATTCCCATGTTACTCCTTCTTCTCCAATAAGTGTAAAACATGTCTGAAAAACTTGAAAACATGAATGTACTGTGAAAATTTTGAGACTCATTAATATTGGAATACATGTAGAATAAACATATAAAACTGGATAAGCAAAGTTGTTCTACGTGCCAAATAAAATTTAAATATTATACCTGTCAAACCTCTTACATTTTGAGAATCCTACTCTAAATAAACTGATGGATGCCAGTGGGGTCTCAACTAGCCAGAAAACTACTTGGTTACATACAGATACACTGTATAAATAACATCATAAAGAATAAAATAAAGAACTGAATTCTGAGTGTACCAAGGGTTAATTTTCTTGGCAGACAGCTGATTTACGTTTTTCCTCTTTCTCCTACATGAAAATCCTTGGTCCCGGGAATGGAGTATTCCTCGTGCTAGGGGCAAACTAGAGAGAAAAGAAGCATGGAGGGGGGGTAAAATTAAAATTTAAACTGGAGCAGTGCAATTGAACTAGAATGTTTCATTTAGATTGGCATACACAAGTATGGATGACTGTATTGATGACTATTTATTTAATTCTGATACCATTGACAAACTATGTCTTAATATCCCCACCATACAGCTGCTGAGGATTCCTACTTCTAATGCCCAATTTCATCCTAATAAGAATTAGAGAAGTGAGGGAAGAAGATATGCCTTACCTGGCCCTAATATGAAGCCAACCGCTTGGCAGGCACTGGTGTTGGCCATGGCACTTGTTCTTTCTGTAAGAGAAGTGGCACCCGCAATATACGACCGAACTACAGCCACATTTCCTTAAGAAAAAAAAAACAACAAACCAAAACCAAGGAAGTATTCATGTAAATATTAAGTTATATTGTTAAAATCTTGAGTGACATTTGTTTTAGGGGTTTTTTCCTTATTTTGCAAGAAAATAAAACCCAGAACTCTCCAGTATTTTTACTACTGGTACTGAAATATGATGTTAACATATTATGATGAGAGACAGAATGTAATAATTTTCAGAAAAGTAAAGTCTGCTGTGGTTACCTGCTCCAAATCCCACGAGAGCACGTGCAGTCAGCATGTAGTATTTGTTGTGCGAGTGAGGTACATGGACATAGGCATAGAGACAATTAGCAGCTACTGAAATAGCAGTTGAAATGACAAGAGGTTCTCTCCTGGGCCTGTAATTGGACCACAAGCCAAACAGGGGAGAGGCAACCATTTGGCCAATGCTGTATGAAGCTATAATCCAGCCCAAAAAACTCGCGTCTGCTGTCGGATCAATCTGCAGAAACACATTAATAAGTACTGTGGGTGAAGTATTACAGTGTTTTATAATATCAATAACACCCTTTTAGAATTAGTACCTGGAATACCCAAGACTCTGTACTGTAATACTTTATCTGGAGCAATAAACCTTGGATAACTCTCTCCAGAAATGCACCAAACCAATGCTTTGCTTCCGAGACTGGAAAGGGCTCACTTACAGCAAACTCTAATAGTTTTTGTACAGCACTGCTGATGTTCTAGGCTACAGACATAACTTAAGCAGTACAGTAGACAGTTTACATGCCAGGAGCAAGGAATCGCTTCAATCATCTCTGCACATGCCTGAATCTGTCCTGATTTACAGGGCTGATAATGAATTTTCTTCTGGAAGAATTCAGCACCAGCCTCACTTTTAATGATACCTCTACGACCCTGCTCAGGATATGTTCTTCCAGATTTGCATTTGAAACTGCAATTCCAGGAGCAGTAAAATCCTAGCACAGATTAAATTAAAGTTTTAGAGACTTTTATGCCACTTTTAACAACGCAACAAAGAGGTGAAAAAATCCCATACAAACTAAAATCACTATCCAGGAGCAATGGCAATTCCCTATTAGGAATATCAAGATCTATGTGCAACAATGTGACATTTACAGAGCAACTTCTACCTCTAGCTTCCTTTTTCTTTTTTTTTTTTTCCAAAATGCAGACAAGTCACATGTATTCTGTTTTAATAAAGAGATTTCTATTGATTCACTCTCCAACAAAACAGTGACATGATACTGGAAAACCAAACATTTCTGGATTCTAATGTACCTTTTATCAGTTCAGGAAATCAACTGACCAGATTTAAAAAGAAATAATAAAAGCTGTCTAAGTGGATGGCAGAATAAAAGTCTCTTATAACCACACACTTCCCTTTACTTTTTCTTTTCCTAAATAAAAGCCTAAGTTTTGTTTCACCTACTTTCTGAGCACAATTTTTCTGTTCTTATCCATCAAGAAAAACATATTTACAAACCTTTTGGAGATATGGCCACACAGACATAATTACAATGGAGAAACCTGTAACACAATAAAAACATAACCCAAGTTATTTTATTTGCCATTTTTATCAGTAATTTGCTTTACTGAAACAGTTATTACAGGTTCATTCTTATGCCTCTAAGTGTATTATAGTCTAAACCTGTGCATCAGTTTGTCATCTGAAAAAAACTATGCTTTTTTTAAGGAGTGATAATTCCTCCTAACAGGAGGAACTGTTTTTAAAAGGTCATTTTATAGTTGCATACACACTGAACAAAAAAACTCTCAAAAGAAAGACAACAAGGTCCCCAAATTAAAAAGAATTTCTTGATATACTGACATATCTGTATTCATTAGTAAAAGAAATTTTAATTGATCAAATTAAAAAAAAAAGTTACTCATATATTCTATGATTTTCAAGATAATTTCTAGGCCCACAGAAAATCACCACAAGTCAAAAATCAACAGAATTCTTGTTTCCAGGGGGATCTATTTAGAATAAAATGGTAATTTGTTCTGCAGTGGAGATGCAAAGTCCTGTAGGAGAAAACACGTTTTGATACATATTTTGAAATAGATAACATACATTCCCATAAAGATCTTCCATCTCAAGAACTCTGCATTATTTGTTTTTGATCTCTATACGTTTCACTTTGAATGATAAAAGTGTGACCTTTGTTTTGTTCAGTTCTGAGCAATGACTTTACCTTGCCACTACCTTTTACCCCAAACTATAATAAGTCATAAACCACGGATTTATGTAATACGTCACTTAGTCTCAAAACAGTTATCTCTTAACTTATCTCACTAAATGTAACTTTCTGTTTGATTTGCTAGTCATATCTTCTCTTTTGAAGAATCACAAAATGCACCTTTTTGAGGTTATAAAAGAGCAGTAGCATTAAAGAAGGTATGTAGTTGAAACCTAGAATATCCTGTAATTTTCAAACCAAAGTATATTCATTAAACAAATAACATTTAAATCCACATGTGTTTACTCACCTACACTGCTGAGAAACATTGTAAGGTACATAATCCAGATGGATCGCCACCTGCTCTTATAATGCTCTTGAGTTTCCACAACATCCCTGTTTTCAAACCAAAAGTCAAGAAAGAAAGAAATCATTATCAGATCCTCTTCTAGTTGGTCCCGCAGGACATTGAAAACATTTTTCACAAACCTCTCAATACAATTGTGTGAATTGTTATGCAGGAGTTGGATTTCTGCTCAGCAAAGACTACAAAGAATTTTCTTCTGAAAAATACTAGACTTACAAATCAAAAAAATAACAGAAATGCTATCATATAACAAATGTTACACAAAGAGATCTTTATTTAGAGAGGTCTTCAATTCTGCAAACTCTTTGTACAGACACTTTGGAGCATCATAGATGTCATATAAAGGCATTAAGAAGTGTGAATTAAACTATAAAACCCCAGACATCTATTCACAATTGTGACCTTGAAAGAACCACAAAATTCAACAACTATTGATTTGACTAAAAGCTATGGCTGGTCTATTCTCACAATGAGAAAATAACAATACAGTGTAAAAGCTACACTGTGTAAAAGATAAGCTGAAGACTGTAGGGGCTGAAAAAAAATTCAAATACAAGTTACAAACTTAAAATAATCTCTTCCCGAAAGATGTAGACTTAGGTTATAGAGGCCTGAACGGTTTATAAACACAGTTTATATAGGTCATACATAGACTTAGGCATGTCTGCAATTTTAAAACTAATGTAACTGTGACTAATACTAATAACATATTACTGGCATCTTAGTATTATACTAATCACAGCATGATTGGTATATTTAATTCTTCAGAAATGTTTACAGCATTAAGTGCCTGGGTTCAATGATACTTTAACCCCAGAAACGAAGTTTCTAAATGTACTTTGCCATCTTATTGCCCATCACGGATAGGGAGAATTCTGCCAAACACCTGCATATGCTGTGTTTGGTTACTTTTGAGACCTTAGTTACATCAAGCCTAAAGTTTGAGAGCGTTTCAGCACAGACCTTAAAGCAAAGACCCGCTCGAGTTTTGCTTGGAAACTTGGAAAAAAACCCCAAGTGACCAAATCCTGCCCACACGTGAAGGCTGATATTAAATACCCAGACTTCTGCACCACTGTTTTGGTGCTTTTTAGGGACTTCTCAAGTGGGTTTGTGTTTTTCTACAAAGAGAAGGAACCGGCCCCCGCCGCGCTCCCGCTGCCGGGCCTGGGACGCTCTGAGACCGCGGATCCAGGTTCGGCAGCGCCTGAGGACGGCGGCTAGGTCGGTTTATCCTCCGGTTCCTCTTCTCCTCTCCTCAGCTCCTCCGTGTCCATCCTCCGGGCCTGGAAGCATCCTCGGGAACCGGGCTCCCCGTGCGAGGCGGGGAAGGGACTCGGCACCCACGGGCGGCACCTCGGGTGACTCGCAGGGGTGTCGCTCCAACACCCGGCGCCGCCTCAGAGCAGAACGAGCCCCTTACCTGCTCTCTTCCTCCTCCTCCTCCTCTCCCTCCGCCGCCGCCTCTCCGGCCCCGAGCAGAGGTTCCTTCCCGTCCGCAGCCGCGGGTCCCGCAGACGCCATGGCCGCTCCCGGCCCCGCGGCCTCCGCGGGCCGCCAGGGGGCAAGCGGGGAAGGGAGCGCGCCCCGCGTTACCGCCACTGGGGGGCGCTGAGCGGGGGGCCCGACCCCGCCCAGCCGAGCGCGACACGAGAAGGGGCGGGACGGGCGACGGTCACGCGCGCTGCAGAGGGGCGGGGCCGGCAGCCTCCCGCGGGCGCCCCTTGCTCGAGCGCTTGCGCGTGCGCGCCCGATCGCCTGCACGCGCGAGGCGCGTTCCGTCCCGCCCTTCGCCCTCCCCCACCCCCTCCCCCGGTCCCTCCTCCGTCCCCCCATTCCCGTTTCCGTTCCCGTCTGCCCATGTGGTGCCTCAGCACCGGCAGCGCCTCGGGTGAGCAGCGAGTGACCTTCTCGGGACGCGCGGGTCGCCAATTCCGCCCGCCCAGTGAGCAGCGGTCGCGGTCTCCGAGCGCCCCCACTCAGAGCAGGAATCGCCGGGGCTCCCCCTCACGGCACTGCCCGGCCCCGGGGGCGGGCTCGGTGTCCGGGGGGCTGAGGGGGCGGAGGGGCCGCGGGTTTCCGTGCCCCGCCTTCCGCCGCCCCTTGTCGGGGGGCTGGGGTAGTGCTGGGTCCCTCTAGGGCGGGCCTGGGGGAATTTGGGTTTGGGAGCCCCACCTGCACCCCCAGTCAGCGTCTGCTGAGCCCTGTGGGTGCAGGGAGCTGCTCGCGCCTCTGGTTTTGGCCTCCTTGTTAATCCTCAGGCTCCTCTGTGTCCATCCTGTCGTGTGGAATCATTGTGGGGTTTGTGTCTGAATTGTCGCCGTGACTTCTCTGTGATTTCTTTGATTTTAAACAATCATTTCTTCGAGAAAAGGACCTGGCGTTAATTGGATGAGATATTTTTAAATAAAGTCGTAGGGTAGGGAAGTTAAGGATTCAGCCTTCTAAAACAGACTTTCGTGGCCTTTTCCGGTTGACTTCTTGTTGGGAGCTGTTTCACGTCCATTTATAGTATAGAAGCAGCACTCTGGGCTGTCCTTAATGTACTTTCCAGGGATGTTCTTGTAGCTGAAGTTGCTTGCACTGGATAGAAAGAGATGGCTGATGTTTTATGTGTTGGATTTTGAATGAATTTTTATGTCTGTTTCTATGAAATAAATGTTCATGCCAAAAATTTATAGTTAGTGTGCAGCATGAGGGTTCTGGAAGCAAAAACTCTTCCTAGAGCAAGAGCCTGGTTATAATTTATTTCTAGTTTTCCTTGTCGTCTTCTCTGAAAAACACAATTTTAAAACGAAGGGATCACTTCTTACTGTGGTTTTTTATCTACTGCAATTTCCATTCACAACTCAAAATTATGTAAAGCTTACCATGGTAACAGTACATTCATTTGAGATTCATAACACAGATAGTGTCTCTTGGGCTACAGAACTCTGCAGCATCTTTATCAGGTCACTGCTTCCAGCTGACTTGTCTTACAAAGGGATCGGGCGGCGACAGGTGTGCTATCAAGTGGTGGAAATCCAGTCGCATTCTGAAACAAGCTCTGCTGATTCTTTCATCAAACTCTCACTACTCTAATACACTCGTTAATGTGAAGTTATGATCCTTCAGCCTCCAACAGTTGGATTTGCCTTTTCTGACAGTAAAAGTGTTTGTAATTGCCTTTCCATGTAGATGTGGATGGGCAGTGACAGAAGCATGTCCTACCCTTTTGTTACGGAGATTAAAAATTTGGGGGGATGGCCCCTATTCTGTCTCAATAATATTTCTGAGAAATTCTATACAACATACTTCATCTACTAGAAATATTTTTTTTTTCTTTTAGTGTTTCCTGTACTCTTTCCAGTAGTGGTTTAATTTTGATTCTGATTAATTGAAATGTTCTGAGTTACTTCAGAGTCTTCATACAATCAATGAAACAGAGGATGAGGCAATCCTTTTGCCTCAATCAGTGTTGCATTTAAATATAATGCACTTGTCTAGAAAGTTGTTCTGGCATTCCTTTGGTGCAGCAGACAGCTCATCAGACCAGACTTTGAACTCAAAGCAAAATCCACATCTTCATGTCTTCTCTCTTGGTTGGCTTTTGTTTTGGAGAGGATTTAAAAAAAACCAAACAAAACAACAATCAACCAAACAAAACATACAAGGCTGCTTTGTTAAGCATCGAAACATTGAGTTTCCTTTTCACAATTGCTAGCAAGCAGTGTACCAATAGAACTGCAAAGGCAGTTTTAGTGTATTTTTGGCAACATAGATTTACTCTTGTGTGTTCTCACTCTGAACTGTCTTCCCAGCCTCCCAGAGGGTCCACTCTGTTGCTGCTCCTGTCTCTACCACCCAATTCTCTTCCAGCACCCTGAAAATACCAAGCTATCCCCCTGCTCCAAAAAACAGAGGAGAGACCTTGCAGCAGTGAGCAAATATTTCCCATCTGACACCCCAACAGCATGTGAAATCAATGGATATCTCCAGAGCGGGCAAGGAAAACGATTATATTGAGGTTGTGATTCTATTAGACCAAGCAGACGTGGATCAGAATAATGAAGTTACACAGTCAGCTTTTGGGGTCTAGTGGAGTAGGAACTAACAATTTCTACATTTTTAAAATAGAAGGTCCCCACTTTGACTTTCTGATCATTTCGTGTATTTATTTTTGCCCTGTAATGACTGAACCATCCTAGAGCCATTGTGGCTTTCTAAGATACTTTTCCTAGTATTCAAGTACCTTAAATAGTCTATAATTTCTGCTTTGATAGTAACTTGTTCTAGGTGTTAGAGTTCTATTTTTTTTCTATCTATTGATTCTTGAATATTCATTCTTTAGAACTGCAGGTGAATGTTTTTATTAATCTGACCACAATTTTAACTTGTTATACTCGAACAAGTTTACTTTAAGAATGACCGTATTAGAGTGTGGCAGAATAAATGCATTTGGATTAAAATGAAATAATAAAAAAAAAGAAACCACACAAATTAAATTACACTATTTTGAAATGTGATGAGGTTATTTAGTCCATTTAGTATGGAGGGATCTGGAAATACTAGAAAATTACTGAAATTAACTTATTAACAAAGTCTTTGATTATTAATTCTGTTGTTTTCTTAGGTGTACACAGATCCTGGACCTTTTTTTTAATTGAATAATCTGTATCCTGCTGACCAAGAAACCAATTTTGAGTTCTCCTTTTTTGTTGTGGTGGTCTTTTTATCCTTCCCCATTGGAAGAGCTCAGTAGTGGCTCCCTGTTCACTTCAGTAAGTACTGATTTGAAAATAATAGCTTGCCCAAAATCTCATTGGACTTAGCTGTATTTGATCTAGAGTATTTGCTGAAAGAGAAATGTTACTGGCAAGGTTTTGGATGGTGTGATTTCTTTCCTGAAGGGAGTGGCAGGAGCATCACTTTGAAAACCATAAGAAGTGGAGAAAATTGGAAATGAATGGATAAAATAAGGATTAGGATATGTGTTTAAGACACCAGTGAAGACAAGGTTACAAAAGTAACCTTTCTCTGTAACAGTGACTGGAACTACATTTTCTTTCTTTCTTATAAATGAAAAATTAAAAGTGCAGAAACCAAAATAAGAAACTACTTTGTGTTATAGTGAATGAACTTGCCACTCATGTTAAAAACCCATTTTAACTATCTTGGTTTTACCTGTGCTTTTTTCTAGATGTCAGTTTGCTGCTAATGGGTGTAAGTAAATTAGATGTCTTATACAGAAAGCTCCTCCTCACTAAACTTTTCATCAGAGGATGGGGAAAGCCAGAGGATCTGAAAAGGTGACTTGTTAAAAAACAACAACATAAACACTACTTTATATTAAAAGAAAAAAACCCCAAACCTTGAAGTATAAACAGTTCTTCCTATCCTGTATTTAAAATACCAAAAATGTTCCCAAGTTTGTTTTGTTTAGGAAATCATGTGTTTCCATACCGAGGGAGTAACTGGATTTAAAAGATGTCTTAAAGGGATTTGTTAAATGTTTCTGTTTAAAGAGGCTCTTCTTGAGAGAATGGGTGTCCAATTAAATTTTTCACTTATGTATATATGATGACATACTTCAAACAGCATCTCTGGAAGTGTTTTGTAAAAACAAAACTTGCTGAATATCTGCAAAGGAATTGTTCTGTTTACCATTAAAGAGGATCTTGCTATCTTTTTGTAACTTCCTAGTGAATTTTAAAAGTGTTAGATTTAATCAGAAGTTTCTCTCATAACCCAAAGTAGTAAACTCTTTCTTTTTAGATGTCTTGAAAGTAAGAAAAAAATGTAAGTACTCCTCAATTTTTAAGTATTTCATTATTTCTATTAATTATTATTAAGAGTAACACCTGGAAGTTAAGGACTTATAGTCTTAAGTGTAAAAATGAAGTGACGGAATATATATATTCTGCATTGTACAGTATTTAAATAGGAAGTGATAAATCTGCATTTAATAAGCTATTTTTTATGTATTTGAAAATCAATAAAGAAAACTTGAAATAAGATTTTGTGCACTGTGGATAGCAGTGGAGTTACGGGGGAGTTGGTTTTTGCTTTTAAGTTCAAGTGAAAGATCTGATCTAGAAATGGCACTTAGTTTGCTTTGTGTATCTGTCTCCAGTTGATTTTTCTCTGAAGTGGCAGGCTTTCCTACAAAATGAGAATGTTGGCTTTTTAAAAGGTTTAGATTACTTGTGTTGGAATAACCAAGAAATGTGGGTTTTATTTTGATTGCAGCATTTCTGTATTCTATTCTGTGTGTGTAATCAAAATGGGACATTTTAATGTTATCAAACCCTAGGTGTAATCTGAAGATTTATGTGCACACCCTTGATGTGATGAATGTTAAAATCCTCATGCTTTGTTCTCATTTAAAAGAGTTGAAATTTCTCAACACATGCAAGACTGAGCCTTCAATAGCCTCCTAACTACAGAAAAAACCCCATAAATGCAGTATTTTTAGAGGATTTAGTGTCAAACAAAACATCTCTTCATTTAGCTTGCCCTCCACACTCAATGTCTCATACCTTTACCCTTATTTTCTCAGAAATATTTAATGCACTTGCTATTCTGTATAAGAAAAGCAAAGGTTATATAGTAAAGCAGGTTTTGATGTGATGGTAAATTGGATTTTCTTTCCATCCTTTTGGGTTTTTTCTGGTGTTGGCAAGGTGAACAGGTCGTTCCTCTTACACTGTTAGTCTGTACTTTTCACCCAAAACTGTTCCCGTTGATCAGGTAACGTGTATTTACAACCATAAGAATGAGCAAGTTATTCTTGGCGTTAGAGTATTTAGGGTCGAGACGGCCAGTTTGTGGACATCTAGTCAAAATCTCTGTTTAAGACAAGCTGAATTTTGTTTCTTCAAGTCAATTGTCACCTCATTCGTTTTAGTTTTAAAAGTCCCTTGAGGATGAAGATTATTTATAGTTTCCCTGGGCTATCTTCTCATATGCTCAACTGTGAAAAAATTCTTTCACTGTGCTCCAGTAGGAATTTGTTACATTGCAACACTCAGCCACTGCTTCTTGTCCTCTCACTGTACACCTCTGAGAAGAGATTTGTTTCATTTTGTTCTGTGGGGCTCTGCAGCCCATTTAAATAGCAGAAGAAAGCAACCAGATTTGCCCCTTAACCTTCTGTTCCCTGCCAAGGTACCTGAGCCTATTTGCTTTAATTTAAAAGCATCCTTACATACCTACCCTATGGGAACCTGATTAATATGGAAAGCTGGCTTCATAACTTACTTTCTTTGTGGCTTACTTTAGCTCCTGACATTTTATATAAATACGTCTTCTCTTTTTTTTAGATTAAAAGCTGAATTTTCTCTACTTGTTTCCTTTCAACAGAATATTTGAATTCAGAAAGATTATTGGAAACAGGGAAACATGCCAGACTCTGGTTTCAAAAGATTATCCAGTGTTTATTGACAAGGTACTTAAAAGCAAGATATGATAAAATGTAACTAAATTTGTTTTCCTGCTGGTATATAAAGGTGAAATAACTTGATACTTAACAGGCTACTTTTATAGGCTACTAGCAGAGAATGGAAGGAAATTGAGAGACCGTGTCTGTACAGATACTGTTTTATTTTTTATTTTTTAGTACAATAGTTGGGGAGTGGAGTGTCAAATATTAAAATTCAAAAAATGTTCAAAACTTAGTATATGTTTAAAATGGGACACCATTACACTTTTACTTGATTCCCTTAAAGGGTCATTTAAAAAAAGCAAATTTGGAAAGAAATGTTTTGGCTGTACTGATAACATGTATCCCTGTATTTGAGGACTAGACCTCTGCTTTAGGTTTATTTACATAAGTTAATTCTTCTACTTTAAGAGATTTGATTTCAGAGCAAGTTAAACACTGGTATGATATATTTTGCTATCATCCCATTCTGTCTGTAGGTTGAGGGGCAATCCGACTGTAAAATCCTTGAGGGGCACTTCATTTCCCCCTTGGCACATTGTGTCCCAGGTATACTGCCAGTCGAATCTCTTGTAGCAAGGTAAGAGAAACGATGAGGTATTTCCTATCTGAAATTAGTGCTGCAGAGAAGTGAGAATGGTCTATAAGTAGTTTTATTTACAGACTAATTGATTTATAGACTAATTTAAATTATAAGCTAATTTATTGCAATGCAAATTATCTGTAAAATATTTCAAAAAGGGGGTTTTTTGTACTAATGTGTTAAAATAGATTTTGATTTCAAAAATGACAATAGATCTTATTCATGTGATAGCTTAATCTGTATTTTGAAAAAAAAATCCATTAGCAAAATATAACTCTTTTGGGTGGTTTTTTTTTGAGTGTAGAACTTATATTGCACAAAGCTGTGTAATACCCTGGGGTTTTTTAAATTGTTTGGTTTTTTTTCCCAAATGAGTGAGATGCTGGAAATGAGGGACAATAGCTGTTTTGTACGTAGCAGAAGAGGCTGTTTTTATGAAAGCATGTTATATTGTATTTGAAGGAACCATTCCAGCTTTCCATTTACATTGAATACAAAAATATTGTATATGTGCTGAAGTAGCAAGTTCATTTAATTGTAGCAAGAGAATCTGATGCCTTTCTTACTTGGCAGGCCAAAAAAAAAGCATTCTCACAGAAAGCTAGGTGATCCCTAGCAGTGATGGTTCCACACTAGCACTGCTTTGCAGTTGAGGACTGGGTTTGGAAAGGGAGCATAATTTCTGTTTGCATTAAATTTTTAGCTAAACTGTCATGACGGATTTTTTTTTCCCAAGCTTTGTTTGTTTGCTAACTTAAAAATTAAATGTACAAGTTTGTCAGCTGAAGTTGATACTGGCATTGTACATTTTGTCAGTAATACTGGCTGGTGTTTTTGTGCGCTTAAGCATGTGACACTAAGGAATGTTAGAAAGTTTTATAGTCAAGATACCAGTTCTATTCCACCTCTCCATTGGTCAGAGAAAGAAACTGTCTCTTAACATTATTGAACTAATTACTACCATACTGGAAAATACAATATGCTAGTTGTTTCCTTATCTATGTTCTCTCATAACTTGTAGCCAAGTTATGCCAACTGTTACTTTGGTCACTGTTGTGTCAGTTTTGAAATGCTGTATAAATTTCCCTTCAGATGGTTGTGGATTGTATGAATGTTCTTTCCTAAGTGTAACACTGTTGTAGGTAACAGTGCTCCATCTTGTGGGGAAAATACTGGTGCCTCAGAAATGATTTTTTTTCCAATAGTTAGACTGTAAATAACTTAAGTAGCAGCCGAAGACGTTGGGTGATGATGTTGGGGGTATAGAATAGCTTTATGGTTTGTATGTTGGGTTTTTGATTTTTTTTTTTTTTTTAATGTATTGCTCGTCTTAATCTTCAATTTCAGCTTTTGTGCCTTCAGGAGAAAAATAGCAATGCTGCCTAGGAGAGCTGGACATGCTTATTTAGGCTGCTCTTTATCTGAAGTTCCATTTCTCCACTCTGCAAAATTTAAATTGTGATGATGAGGTAGTAGTCTTTTTTAGGAACATGATCTTTCATCTTGGCTCCTTTTCTTGTTTGGCCTTCCTTCTGTCCTACTTTCAGATTCCTTTGTTTGCTGAATGTGTTGATGAAAAATGATGTTGCTGAATTGCTGGCAGTTTGCCTGCATGAATTACAAGTACTTTATTATATCTTTTGGGATTTTTTTTAGATTAATTTCTCTTGGTGCAGCTTGTAAATAGATGTACTTACTCTGCTAAAATAGGTGTTTCTCACAGATTTCAGTTCATCATACCCAGAAGATGGAACAGCAAGCACAGACCTGTGTGCATTCATTTAGCGGGCACTGGAGATCATGTGAGTTTGTAAAATATAAAACTGATTATTACTGAGAAATTAAATAATCACATTTTGTCTTATATGTATTATTTGTACATCTTTAGCACTTCTGGAGGAGACGGACACTAATGGCAAGGCCAATGATTAAAGAAGCCTGTATGGCTTCCCTGTTGCTAGAAAACCCTTATTATATCCTTTTGTGGAAAACACAATAGTTATTATTAATGTTCTGTCCAGAAGGTAAAAGACTTATCCTGCTGGCAAAATATGTACTTTTTGACCCTATTTCCAGTGGACTTTTCAGTGCACAGAAGCAAAGAAAGTATGGCCACTGCATGAAACACAATGTGGAACACAGTTAACATAATGAGCTACCTTTTCACCAAGTGTGCCTTTTTGGATTTTTTAAAAAATGTCTTCTGCAGCTTCTTCCTGTATTCGTTAAAGTTGTGATCTGAATAATGTGAATCTTTTAGCAGTGACTGACTGAGAATTATGCATTCATTCCATACCATACTTTAGATGTAGTATGGATCTATTAATGACAGAAAAGAAAGTTGCCTCTGCTGCCTTCCATTCTCAAATGCAATTCTTCCGTACCTCAGGTACTTTTGAGAAACTTACTACTGGCACTTAAGATTTGAGGTTTTTTTGAAAAACAGTTAAGTTTTGTCCTATCATCTTCTATAACAGTGTTACTCTGTTTTATTAAATTTCTGGTCACACTTTTTTCTTACCCATATACCTGACAATGGTAAAATGTTGCAAACTGCATCATCAAACTACATTGAACTTGATTAAGTGCCAGTTAAACATTGGGAATGTAAATTCCAAACTTCAGTTAATCCATGCTATTTATGTATGTGATTTATTTTGTTTGATTTTTTTTGTTTTGTTCTAATGACCAGTTTTTATATAGTCTTTTTTACTTTCTTTAACTGGAGTCTTTTACATGGCTGTAGAAAACCTAAGGATCAAATGTAAGTATTACTGTTATATTTTTGGATACTGTCTTTTTGAAATAGTGCTTTTTATTTTCTCTCAAGGAGCTGAAAGTTGTCTAAACTTTGATAGCTTATTAAGAAAAAAAAGTCCAAAGAATGGATGACTTGTAACCTGCTGATGTGAAATTGTCTACTCTTTGCTAAACTACTTTGTTTTTTTGTGTTAGGAGATCACAGGCATCAGGAAAGTTTGCACGAGATGAACTTGCAGTATAGAGTGAGATGCAGACACGTTCTGTGAATACAAGCAAGTGCCACTTTATTTTCCTGATTCACAGCTGCACATGTACAAATGCTGCAGTTATATTTCAGTCAACTATGAATAATTTTTGGTCAGATAGTGTATTTCCCTGTTATTTTTATACGTATATATTGCTAATATTTTGCTTTTTCAAGATATTTTAAGAGTTTACTTAAATTTTAAGAATTATTTTAAGAACAAAAATGGTGTTGGTTGGTTTTCAGGCAGTGGAAGCCATGCAATATTAAGTATTTTTCAGGATTTGTTCCCTCAGTCAGTTTCTTAAATGTGAATTTAGTAGCCTAATTAGATGGTCCTGGTTTTTTTGCTTTTCACATTGTCTAAACCACAGAAGTATTAACAGAATTCAAAAGAATGTGTGTCTGAGGCAAAGCTGTGGTTTTAGTCTCCCAATATTTCTTAAGGTCCAAATATGAGTCGGTGTTTTAATCCTTTTTAATCCTAACTTTGACATTTAACCTGAGTAGAAGACACAGAGAAGGTGATTTATGAAGGATTATAGGAAAGTGACAGGAGTGTGTGCTGGAATACATCTATTGGTAGGTTTATTTCCAGTTATTGATGATCCAATGCAGAAGAATAAATTTAGTAACTCTGTTCTCAGTTGTCTAGCATGTCATCTTAGTAGTTGTATGATGCAGAGAAAGATTCTTTCTAAGAGGGGTGCGCAGTCTAATACCCCAAAAGGTACCTGTCACTCTTCAACACAGGGTTACACAGCAGCAGTGGTTTTAGTTAATACTCTGGTAACAGTGTTTAATAAATACAGCAGCTGGAGAGGGCTGAGGAATCTCATAACAAAGCTGTAGGAAAGAATTCCATTAGCCTGTAAATGCTGGTCTGCAGCAGCTATGTTCATTTCTGTGTGACTTCACAACAAGCTTTGTCCTTGTGCTTCAGAGTGTCGCAAATGCGATGGTGGCATGCTGGCAGGAGAGGCCTGGAGCCCTTTGTAATGTGGCTGTGATACTGAAAATACACAGTCCTCCTCCCCAAATTAGAGGTCTTTTATTTTTAATACCTCTGATGGTTCAGCTGAATAGCTTCCTTCTTTTTTTGTGTGTCTCCTGTGTTTTAATGCTTTGCAGTCCACTACCTAAATTTCTCAGTACCATGACAAAATTCCCACTTTACAGTTTCAGTCTTAAAGTGACACTGATGAGCACTTCCAAAGCTGAGATACTGATTGCTCTTCAATGTTGTGTGCAATTTTTCAATGATGTAAATAAGGTAAATAAGGAAAAAAAAAAAAAGATGGTGTAAGTCTAGGAGTATATGTCTAGGACTGTATCACTTTGATTCTATTTCAAAAATATCTGTTAGAACTTCACAGGACAGAATATTATTATTAATGAGAAGCTAATGTTGATAATGTCTGTTTCCAGAAGACCAGGCTGTCAGTGATATTACATTAGAAATTTAGCAGTTGCCTATTTCTAGTCTGCATTTGGATGAAAAATTGCACGTGCCAGAGAATCTGGGCTTACTTTTTCACCTGTTGAATCAACAGAAGTTCAGCTCCAAAATTCTCTGGGATTGTGATTAAGCTTTGTATAAAAGTATGTATAGAATGATGAGAACTGTCAGAGTCTAATCTTGGAAAATAAATCCTGTATTTTCCTTTTCTGGGGAGACAAGACGGTCATGTTTAAAAAATGTCTCGGACCTGTTTGTGATGGGAGGAGCTCTAATTCTAGAATCGGCAGCTCTTTTGCACTGGCTAGAGAGAGAAGGCTATGGACCGCTAGGGATGACTGGAATATCCATGGGAGGACATGTAAGCTTTTATATCTCCTGTTCAGTAATTTTTGTTTTAACTTCTCATTTGATCATGTAGCATTCAGAAATAATTTGCTTTACAGTGTTACAGTGTTGATCTCAGAAGTACTTTAAAATAAACATTTAGAGTCATGAGAAACAAATTGTTGGCAATTCTCATGTTCTGTGGTGCTGAATTAGTATAATCCTTAATAAGTACTGACAAATCATAGAGCCATCTCCTGGCAGGCTTAATAAGAATATAAACTTCTCACATAATTGTTTTTTTTCCACAAGGGGGGGCAGAAATGTTATCTGAAAGAAAGTCTGCACTGATCGATTGCTAATTCTTCCTCTTTTTCTCCATTCTTCTTGCTTAAATCTTTGTGTTGTAATGCATTGTGTGAAATGCCCCCTCTTTGTAGGCATATTGTGACTGAGGTGACTTTTAGTGTCAGTTCTATTCTCAACTCATCTCTTTTTTCCCCCGATCATTGGTATTGATCAGAGATTTCTGTGGTGAGGTGGAGAACGTTTTCTGTATGACACTGTGCATATTCAGACTAAACCAGCAGTGATGCTTGAAAGACTAATACACAGTTAAAATATTACTGCTTATGTCTCTACAGATTATGATGGGTCTGTGAGACAGAGGTGCAAAGCTTATTAAAACAACATACCTTTGTTTTTCTGTTGTTAGGAGCTAAGTAAATAATGTTGGTAATGGTAGTATTTACTGAAAGGGAAATATTTTCCCCTAAAGCACAACTTTATAACTCTTAAATGTCCGTAAATGTACAAAGCACCTTTGATTTACGTAAATATCACCCTGCTGAATCAACAACTTTTGTATTATTCCTTCCTTGGCTTATTTGTAAGCTGTATTGGCCTTCTCAGACTGGTATACCAGCACTAACCATGCACGACAGTTCAAATGCTGTGGTAACCACCAAATTCTATATCCTGTACTAATGGTTATATCCAGCATGGGTATAGAAGGAGGCAAGATCTGAGAAAAGTGGATTTGGAAACTCCTTTGAAATTTTTTTAGTCCAGGAAGATACGTTTTTGGTTAGTCCTGACTTACTTACAGGATTTCTTGGTACAATTTAAACCAGCGAAATAACTGATATTTGATGTTGATCCTCTATAGAATGTGTTTTACAAGGGAAGGTAGGTAGCATTGATTCAGTTCTTCTATTGGGGAAAGCTGGAACAAAGAGAAAAGAAGTCAGACTTTCTGGCTATTAGAACATATAGATATGTGGTGTTCTTGTAACTTTTATTAATCAAAAATAATTATAGTAGAATTACAGTTCAGTTGTATAAATCCATTTGTTAGAATGTCTGACACAGAGATGGGGTGTTTTGTATTAAGCGGTTCTGTTTAGAGCAATAATAAAATAAAACTTGTCAAGGACATACCATATAGGGAACTTCTGTACACTGAACTTATTTGCTCTGTTTTTTTATGGGATAAACAGAATATTAACAAAAATGTGTTCTGAGAACTGATGTAAAAGTAATAATTTAAACTTAAAGGACAGAAAAAGAGTTCACTTGACGACTTAACATGCTGAATTACTTCTCCTTCATATTTTGTTTCCAGTATGCAAATTTCAAAAGTATAGAATTTTAAATAGCCCTTCTCATAGATTGACTTTATTTCGCCTTGAAATAAACTTGCAAGAGCTTGATAAAAAGCTTTGTAGATGTTTTTATAGCTTTAAACAACTAATATATTGTATTAATTTTTATCATTATTATGATAATTAATGTAATTATACTTATAATTAATGGGGTTATAATTATAATTAATGGAGTAGTTAGTTAATATTCCATTGGGAATTCTTACAAAAAAACCCCATTCAGCTTGAAATGAATCCTATCCGGAGCAATGCTTATTAGAAAAATCACTGAAGAATAGATTGTAACTTCTAAATAGGTGAAAATATATCCAACTGCCACAGTCCTTAACTGCTTTGGCGCCATGTATTTGATAGACACTATATAAACAAAGAAACTGAGAATGAGAGAGTTCTTTCTAGCATATTGTGAATTCAATATTAAAATGTGTAATAAGTGCCTTTGATTCTAGATGGCTTCACTGGCAGTGACAAATTGGCCTAAACCATTGCCATTGATTCCGTGTCTTTCCTGGTCAACAGCTTCTGCAGTCTTTACTACGGTAATTAACATATATTTTTGTTAATGTTATTGCATGATAATCAGAAATGTAAGTTAAAAAGTTTTGGTTGGCTGCAGGGGAGGTGAGTTTCCGTGCCCTGTGTTATAATGTGTGCTTATGCTGTCTGGGAACTTGGGCAGAATTCCACTGGGAAAATAAGGGGAACAGATCAATTTTTTCTGTGTATCATTATTTTAGAGTGATCTCTGGGTTTTACTTGTGTGCTTGATGTTTTTGTTTATAATCTCAGGGTGTGTTGAGCAAGGCAGTGAACTGGAGAGAGCTCGAGAAACAGTATTTTACACAAACTGTTTATGAAGAAGAAATAATTCAAATGCTTGAATACTGTGGAGTAAGTATAGTTTGTTTTCCCTATTTGCTAATATTTACATGTGCAAATCTAACAAATAATGTAACTTCTTTTTACTTGCACTAAAAGTGGACAATTGTTAGCTAAAACATACCTGCATGTTGTTTCTTTATGCTTTCGATAAACTTAATCTTTGAAGGAAAACCTGAAAAATAAAGCTAATATTTTGGTTGTTTAGTGAGTGTTAAGTGTAGCCCTTGCTACAGTTTTTCCTGCGACCACACTTAATGTAATCTGTGACATAAAATGTGTTCAATTGAAGTTCTAATAATAACTTTTTTTCCCTAAGATTCTTTGCTTTGTGACAGTTCTTTTTCAAATATCTTACAACAGGAGAAGAGGAGCTGGGGTGGAGATAGTTACTAGGGCACTTGCCATTTTTAAGTCAAATACACTCCAGAACACTGATGGAGAAGACAAAATGAAAAGAAGAAACATTTCAAGATATTTATAACTCTTGTGTCTCCCTAGTATTTAGAGACAGTTGATTTTTCAGGCCTAAACCTAACAATAGACCTGGTCACATATATTTATTTTCTTATTATTATGTCATGTAGGCCTAAATTATGGTAATTACAATTTCAGAGTTTAATACAAAATGAAAAGCAAATGTGTTTGTATCATAAGCTACCATATATATAAGTAATTCCTGCATTTTTTTTAAGATGATAGAAACGTAGAATGAAATTATCAAGAGGTTATGGTGGTCAGGATTTAACTGAGTGACTTGCAAACTGGAAATAACAACTACTATAATGAGTGCTTTTTGTATCTTCTTATTTTTTTTAATAATGAGTTCATCTTAAAAATAAGATTAACCAACTAGTTTAAGGGAGTAACCCTTAGTAAATGACCTTTTGTCTTTGTTTAGACAGATTCTTTCAAGATGGGACAAGATTTTGTTAAAAACTTCCCTGACAGTGTGCACAGTCTGGAGGATATGGATGTTACCTCCAGGATGTTCAACCTTGAGTCCATGAGCACTGCTGTATCTAAAGAAGCTGTTCACAGCTTTACTGCAAATAAAAGTACTCTAAGTGCCTCTTCAGAAAGACTCTTAATACAAGATGCTCCTAAAATGCAGTGCATAAATCAAACATTTTCAACCAGTAGCAGTAGCAATAAAAACTTAACCGGCCCACAAGGATGCAGGATAAATACAAGAAGAAAGAGTGACACTTTACAGAGAGAATCCATAAGGTTCATGAAAGGAGTAATGGATGAATGTACCCATGTAGCTAACTTCTCAGGTATGTGTCTATTTGTTTCAATATGCATTTTGGAAAATTGAGTAAAATACAGTCGAAGAGAGGTATTTTCATAATTCTCCATGTGTAAACCTGCTGGCCCCTTAGCTGAAATATGGAAATATTGTGAGCATTGTTCAGTAATGTCTGTTTACCACTCCATTTCGTAATTGTTTTTCTATTCCTTCTTGATGGCCAACTAATGACACAGTGAATTAAAAATTTGCTTTTCAGTATCTTTGCTCATTTCTCCTCTGCCTTGCTGTGCTCTTCTCAGATATGAGTTAGTGCAAATTTATATTATCTGAAAGAACAAAACACCTGTGCAATGTGAGTGATACCTAGAACTAATCTGCTAATAAGGTCTTTCAAGTCAGTTTCGTAAGGCAGAAATCTCATATTGACTTCAGGTAGAAAGTAGCCTAGCTGAGAACCAAGCTTGAATGACACTGCTAGACAAGTGTGACCAGTAAAAACACGCAGAGGTCCTTCTGTGATAGTGCAGCCTGAAGAATATAGTTTCCCAGGACAGGCATAGCATATAGAGGGAGGTGTAGCCCAGCCTTCCTTGGCATTTTGGACAAATCCTTTACTCTGCCTGCTTGCAGCAATGCAAACAAGTGCTTGCTTTCTAGAGCTGTCTGAAAGGGTTCTCCTGGAGTGGAGGCTTGGAATTGCTTTTGTGGCTGTCAATTCAGACAAAATGGTTCAGCTGTGCATGTACCTGCTTTGACTTTTGGTATTTAGTAATCCACTGGTAAATATTAAAATAAAATAAAATCCGAAGATATCTACACTAGAGTAGATTTCTTGACTTGGATCACTGCTTGCCAGGGATGTTTTATGACAAATACTGGTGCGGTGCTTCCCTTAAAGCTTTCAAAGTTATTTCAGTAGACAGAAAAAGCCCTTTAAGCTTTATTCTAAGTACTCACATTCTTGTTTATCTAGACTTATCCAGGTATCACTTGGCTAAAGCACTGACCTTTCTTGAAACTTAAGAGGATCTGTGATCCTAATGCACTTGTCAAAGTGATGTACTCCTTCCTGTCAGTAGTCTCTTAGGTGTCAGTCATGCTCTAGGAGACGTTGCATCCCCTGCCAGGTATCCTTGAAATGTGGCTAGAGGAGCTTCAGAAAATCTGCCTAACATTCAGATTTCATGGAAAGTGGAACAAAAGACTAGAATTTGTCTTAGCATTGCGTGTTCTCTATACATGATGAAAGAAGGAAGGGTCTAAGTGATTTGTGACACTCCATTGCCAAACGTCTTGTTCGGTCACTCTTTAACATACCACGTATAGTTTTTTCTTGAAGAGAGGAATGTTCTATGTTCAACATCATTTTGCTGTCATTTTTCTGAACATCATTTTGATGTTGTTCCTGTTAATAATCTGATTGGTGCAATTCTGGTTATGAATGGTAAATATATACAACAGTATGTTGGGATTTTTATGTTGCAGCTAAACCTTGTAGGAAACAGAAAAGAAAGTGAACATATGCTGCACTTTGTCTGACCTTGTATTAAAAGTCTTTTTTCCTCTCCTTAAGGAAAAAAGTTTACATAAAGCTCTGTTGAATTTCATAGTTCTTTTTGCTGAAAAAAAGAGATCTCAAAGAACTGATGTGAATGTTGTAGAGTTTTGTTGATAAGAGGAAAGACAATTCTCCTATCATTCCTCAAAGACTTGTGAAGTTTTCTGCTTTAGGGGAGGGAAGGGATAGGATGTTTGTTTTTCTGCTGATAGCCTCACTACTGTAACATCAAACAACAGATAAATTCTATTAAAGCTTAGAATAATTTAATTTTTTTTAGAAATAGCATTTTTGCAACAGAAATCTTAGTTGTCGTGTTTCTGTTTCTTATCTTAGATGAATTCAATTTTTTGATTTGTTTTTTAGTTCCAGTTGACCCAAGTTTAATCATAGTTGTACAAGCCAAGGAGGATGCATATATTCCTCGTACTGGGGTGCGCAGTCTTCAGGAAATCTGGCCGGGGTGTGAAATTAGGTATCTGGATGGAGGTCATGTCAGTGCCTACCTCTTCAAACAAGGACTCTTTAGGTAAGGTGAACAGAAAAGTGTAAAAATAGTCTAGATTTTATTAAAATATAAGCTTGGCTGCAAATGAGTAGTAGTACTTGCGTGAATTCTTGCCTTATAATATTAGGTATTGACTTTCTAAAGACAGTTATATAAATCAGTTATATAAATCAGTTATATAAATGCAGTTCTGTTTCTAAAAAGTTAAATACTTGTGCTGTTAATTTTAAAATATAAGGAATTAGACTGTACATCCCATTTAGGCAGTCTAAGCAACAACAGAAAAGAATAGCACTATGTCAAGTCAAGGTGTACTGACCACTAGTTTATTGCTATTTAAAACTTCAGCCTTATTTTATGATAGTTATCAAAAATTGTAAGTTATGCATGTCTTTGACCCATTTTCTGATGTGTTTGAGTAGAAAACTAATTCATTAACATTTGCACTCACATTATAGTTGGTAAATAGTCCCACTCATTCCTGAAACATAAATATATTACTGAATTGAAGTGAGAGATCCCAGAAATAAAGGAAGGAGAAAACACTACCTGATATCACATTTTTATTGAATGCTGTTTTGAACTTGTGTGATAGCTTTGTATATACATTTGTAAATATATAAAAATACACCCCTTATATCTTCCCTTTCCCAAATTATACAAATGATCTTCTTTTTACCTTGTTTCAGACAAGCAATTTACGATGCGTTTGACCGGTTTCTTCAGAAATACGCTGTTTGAAAAATCTTCATAATGCGTTCAAACTGATCTCATTTGTAATTCAGTGTACTGGAACTCGTATTTGGAAAACAAGCTGCTTGCAACATTGAGTAGCCACTGACTTTGGCTGTTGTAGGTAACAATAACTGGAAATGGTGAAGTACCAGCATTACTTTCATTTCAACCCAGTGCCATTCTGACACAGCTGCTTCAGCATTACCTGTGAAAAATCAATGGCAGCATTTGTCAGCATTCATGTACTTTGTGTCTAATCAGGTTGTGTATTCCTTGAATTCTGAATCAATTCTGAATTGTGTGTCAGTGGAAAATAGACCAGTCTAAGTATTGAAAGAATGTAAAATGTGCTGTACGGCTAAGCTGCTCTCTTGTGTTTAGTGTGTTTCTGGTTTGTTCCATATGCCTTGGTTTCCTCTTGCTTCCTTGTGCCCTTGCTACTCCCATTGTGTTTTACTACAGCTTTGCCAGTGCTCAGCCTCGTGTGTTTGTCACTGGTTTTCTCTTCAATTATGAATTGAAAATGAGCTGTAATAGGAGGGGCAGCATCTAATCTTGCAAAAAGAGACTGTGACAATTCAATGAAAAGTGAGAGAGAGACGTTTTCATTCAATACATCCTTGAAGTTTTTCTGCCACTGAAATAACCGTGCCGTTCCAGAAGGATCATGTAGCAATTCATCAGTCAGGTTCACAAAACTGGAATAAGTGAAAATCAACTGTCTGGTTATTAATTCTTTACATTAATTCAGTTGGATAACAAAAATTTCTAGTTTGTTTTTTTTTTTTTAAAGAATGGTAGAAGAGATAGAGATTTCATCATTTACAGTGGCTGCTTTTAGGCAGTTAAATCAACAGCAGATTATATGGTGCTATGAAGACCTGCTGGGAATATTTCAACAGAAGTCCTTTTTAAAGTACACTCAGTGCTGATATGCAAAATACACTTTCATTGTATAATTTTAAAAATACATGAGACTAAATGTTTTTAAAACAGTTAGGTTTGCTCCTTATTTTTCATCACTTGGGTTTTTTTAAATCAATGGAAAATAATGAAATTCGGATCTTGAACACACTTAAGAAAAAAGCCTCTTTTGGGATCAAAAATGCCAACAAAGTACACTATCATATAAGGTTGTCATGTAGTGACCGTATGTGGTATCTCTCCATGTCTTTTTTTGTGGTAATCTCCTGCAACATTCTCTTAAAGCCAATTCGCAGAGAGGTGGAAAACTGGAACACTTCAGTATTAATTTTAGTACAGTCATGACCAGGGTTACACTGAAACAAATTGAAAAACCCAGCCATTTCTTAGGATGTTCAACTTCTGCACCTTTCCAATCAAGCACTTTTGATCTCCATGGTTAGTGTGAAGATTTTTAGTAGGCAGAGTATGGAGCAAACAAAGCTCGGTTTATATATTTTCTTGAATTTTACTCTGACAGGACTAATAACTGTGAAGAAGTCATGGTTCACTTGAAAATCAGGTATGTTTAGGTAAAACTGAAGAGCAACAATTCACAATAACCCAAATTATTTAAGATACAAATTTACTGAAAATGCAAAAGAAGTTCTGCTCTTTTGGAAGTGAAATTGCTTCTCTCAAGGGGTTTTTCATAATTTCTTTGGACAGCGTTGGCTTTGTATATATTAGGAGCAAGTGTGAAGTGACTAACATGGTTAAATACAAAATATTGTAAACACCAAATATTGGAGGGTTTGAATTCAAATATAAGTAAGTTTACAAATTTAAAATTGGCAGCTTGAATACTGTACTAAGAGATTTACAGGGTTTACAGTTTACAGGCTCATTCATCAACTAAGAGTGCTTTACAAGACTACTCTGCTGTTCAGCAACTTTTGTAGCTCTCACATTTTAAATGTAATTGTGTGCTTTTTGTCCTGTTTCTGTTGCAGCTATGAGAAAGGGAGATATGTGGTGGCAAGGGAAAGGGCTTGAATAAATGCAAGAGAGAAAAGACAGATTTTGTAAAGGCCAGGAGTAAGCACAAAAAAAAATCAACTACGCTACAAAGTATAACATGCCAAAGTAAATATTTTCAAAGCGCACAATACTGGGAATTACACAACTGATGGGAACTTGACATCCTGAGGTTAGTGTTCCAATGGTATTAGTAACAAGGTTTAACTTATCCAAAGGTCATTCTATTCACAGATGAAGATTTAGGCCAGTGCCACTCCTGGTTGTGAGTGTGTCTTTTGGGACAACTAGTGAAAGACTGGTTTCTGACAAGAATGAGAAATCACACTTTGCTCTGTAGCTAAAGTCGTGTTGCCAAGTATGTAAGCATTATTTAAGAAATTTCTCAGGTTAGAGTAGCATAAAGGAAAAAGGAGCTCTGTGATCTGTTTCTGCCAGTTATCAGACACAGGGAGCTATTAGGTGGTCTGTGAAGGGGGGAATCTTGCTGTGTACGTGTTTTTAACCTTTGGGAAATTGACTTTTTAAACCAGATTTTAAGGTTAAAGCCTAAGAAAGTATAAATAATCCATTTTGATGTTAAAAGAGAATGTGATTTTAATCCAGCAATTGCATGAGGGAAATACTGGAATCAAATTCCTGCACTAAATCCATGTAGCAGGTAAGCCGTTCTGTATGTCTTAAACTTATTGTAAAGCTGGCCTTGGTGATTTTTTGGTTTTAAAGTTTTTCAATAAAAGTCCTAAAAAACCAGTTACATGTGAAGGGGTTTTTTTCTTTCTTGTTAACAGATGTTCAAAGTGCATCTTGCTGTCATCCTGTAATCCTTTTTATTCCTACTAGAGCTGTAGCACAAGGAGAGCAGTTAATCTACAGGACGTGATAAAAGCTTCCCATAACAAACACTGGTACTACTTTGATGTTTTTCTACATGCAGTACCTAGTAAAGAAAATAAGCTTGTATCAACTAATTAAGATACCATCGTAATTCCAGTTTTATACTTGCCAATGCCTTCATTGTGCTCGAATTTCCCAGACTAATTTAAAATCCTTTCTACTTTTAAAAGGGTCCAAAATATGTACAACTTTTGGCTGCTGTGTTCCAAGCAAGGGTACCATACTAAACTTGGAGTGGGTAGTTTGCTTTTCTACATTGGAAAGGACAGGCTTAGGGCAGAGCGAGAGGTTGAATCTGGTGTGTTATCCATGAGTAACCCAGGTACACTTGTTTGATGTTTTGTTCCCATGCTTCTCTTCTGGCACCTGATCATGTTGTGGAACAGAACACATCTAATAATTGTCAAATGGAGCTTCTTGTACTTTCTTTCCCCGAATCAAAAAAAAACAAACAAAAAACCAACCAACTCAAAAGGGACTGCTCAGGAATTTTTTTTAGCAAGGATACATCACTTGTGTTTTATTACTCTAGAAAGTCTGCAGAAAGGTAACATAGGACAGAATGGAGTTCTGTTGCTTTTCCTTATGGGAATGTCATATGCATGTATAGATATACTCTCTAAAGAGTAGAAAAATGAAAATCCTTGGACAGTGAATGTTATTTTGTCTTGGTAGTTGCTAACACTTTGAGGCAGCTATTTTTAAAATTTAATTATTTATCTTAATTGTTTCTGTCCTTTTTTTTAATGTTGATCTTAATTACACTTGGTTGGGCAGGGAATTTTCTTTATCTTAAACTGTCAGGTTCTCTGTCAGCTTGGCTGTAATGATAAGTATGGTCTGTACGCATGTAATTCCTTGTGAAGAACTGTTACATGAGTAAAATGCTGCTATTGTATGGAATGCTGTAATTTGCAGTGTTTCCTGGTACACTTGGATACTTCCACACAAGATAAAACATAAGCGTTAAAATGTGAAGTGTGTCATTAAGGATTGGTATTCTCTTGTGGTGTAAATTAGCCCCTTTTCCAAATATGAGTATTTTAAGTACTGTGCTGGTAAAGGAAAAAGTTTTGCCAAAGAAGTTTGACTTACACTGCTAGAAAGTAACAAGAGTGATGATACACAGTGGACAAAGTGTTAAGGATGAGTCTTAGCAACTGTAAAAGCTTTTTATATCCTCTTCAGGCCTAGTCCATCCCATAAAGGTTACAGTAAGACATGTCCTACCCCGGAGTTAGCAAAACAAGGATGGACAAAGGCTCAAGTGCCATGTTACTGGTCACCTTTAGTGCTTTTTTGCCCCCATATAATTACCCCTTAATCAGTTTCCTTTTTTCCTGCTCTGTTCAAGTTCCTGCACTGCAGTACTGCAGTGTTCCTAAAGTCCCAGCTGGCCTACTCATCTGCTTCCTTATTTTCTAACAGTATGGGGAAAAAAAGGAAACAGGAGGTTACTCCCCTTCTTACCAGTGACTTAGGTAGAGCCTCTGTACTTTCATATCACTCTAACCTCTGCTTAACTTCTGAGTTTGGGAAACCAAATAAAAGATACAGAAACTGTTTTCAACAGGTAGTGTGACTGATACTCCTGCTGTCAGGACTGTATGCAATTGGCATGTCCCCGATTAGTAAACTTATGGCATCTGAAAAAAAGCAAGTTCTTAGTGTCAAAGAAAAATGCTTCTAAGGGTTTGAAGATTTGCTGTAATTTTAATCATTCTACCTGTAATTTTAGTCATTCTACCTTTTTTCTTCTTTACTGACATAAATTTAAAAAGAAAGAATACATGTGTCACTTTCTATACAATAAGTGCTTAGAAGCACTAGTGATTTTTTCTCTATTTATGAGAAGAGAAATTCCTCTAATGTTTGGAGCTTAAATCTGCAATTACAGAAATGTGATACTTTCCTCTACATGGTTTGCTCCTTGGAGCATAACAATTGTAGTAGATGTTTTAATTTCAAGCCCTTACCACAAAAGGTCATTAATTTTCAAATATCTTGAACAAAGCAGCAAGCACCTGGGGTTTTTTTGTTTTTGAGGTAGGCCTGGCCTTCTGTCAGGTGATCTGATCTGCTACTGTACCCACAGTTACAGAATAATCCTAAAACTGTCTCAGTGCCTGAAGTGTCAGCTATGATGGGCATTTGTTGAGTTTTTGGTGGGCCTGTTATTTATTTTTCTGATGAAGGGGTAAAACTGCACATAATCTCATTAGAGCAATGAATAATATTACTCCAAACAGAACATATTTTGCTGCTACAAAAACCAGGAAACTCGGCTACTTGTGACACTACTTCAAAATGTTTGCCTCACTTTATAAAAGCCTGTTTGAGAATTTGCTTAGTTCACTGAAGAAGTGTTGGCTCCTTTTTGGTTTTTTTGAAAGCCCTTTTGTAAGAAAGGGATTAAACCAAGAGACTGAATGAAAGAAAGAGAGGAACGGGTGTCTTAAGGTGTAATCAAGGAGAATTGTGGGAGCCCTGGGAGCTGGCAAAGAGGGAAAGGGGTGATTAGGTGTCATGCTGCAGTGGCTTTCCTCATCCTCTGATCACAGTGCTTCTGGGATAATGCAGCGGCAGAAGTGTGGGAATAACCTCCAAACGAATCCAGCAAGCTTGGTACAAGTACACATGCTACTATGAGATAATTTCTGGGAGACTTTTGGCAGAAAGTAGAAAGGTAGAAGAGAGATGGTGTGATGGTGAAGGTACCTTTCTGTTGGAATGTTTAAATGTGAGATTCCCTTGCTGTTGGGACTCCAGTATGTTCTCACGTGCCAGTGAACATGTTCTCTAGGCTGTGCCACTCGAAGTGCTGAACCAGAGACGTCCCCTTCGCATCAACGAAATGTGTTCATCCTCCTGGTGCATATTGAGACCCTTGTCGCGTTGTACAGGTACGGGCCAGGCCTAGCGAACCGAAATGTCCGAAAGGCCCTGGAAAACCGCCCGGCCCATGAGGTCACAGCGCACAGGAGAGCCCCGGGTCCCTCCCCCGGGCGGGCGGGGCCGGCGCGGCCGAGGCAGCGCGGCCGGAGTGCCGCCTGTCCCTCGGCAGGGCCCCGGCAGGTCGCGGTGCCTCTTACTCTCACCGTCGCTCGCCCCCTGCGGCCGCAGGGAAGGTGGAGCTACCGGCGCTCGGCCGGGCCGGGGGCGCTGACTGCGGCTCCGGGGCGGGGCGGCCCGAGGAGGAGGCGGGTCCCCCTTACCCCGCCTTGGGCTCCCCGCCTCGGCCGCCCCGGCTGCGGCCCCTGCGGCGGGGCGGGCATGTCCGCGGCGCAGGTGTCGGAGCAGCGGGGCTGGAGAGCGGCGGAGGAGCCCCGGCGGCCCGAGCCGGGCTCGCCCCGCGGAGAGGAGGCGGCGGAGGAGGGCGGCCGGAGCAGGGAAGCCCTGGCGCCCAAGGAGAACGCGTGGACGCGGCGCAGAGCCCGGCGGGACAGCCCGTCCCCGCCCGCGGGGGCGGACGGGCGGCTCGGGCCGCCGGAACCAGGTGCGGCGCCGGGGGTCGTGCGGTGCCTTTATTGAATCGGAATGGTTTTGGTTTTGCTTTTGTTTGCTTTTTTTTTTTTTTTTTGTTTTGTTTTTTTTTTTTTGTTTTTTTTTTTTTAAGGAACGAGAGGCGCGTGTTTGTGGGCAGCGGAGCCGGGCCCGGACGCAGCGCGGCGGGAGCCGGGCCGGGCGCGCTGTGTTTGACATACATGGGCAGAGGAGGGAGGCGGACGGGGCGGGTGGACGCGGGGACACGGCCAGGGAGAGGGAGCGCCGTGCTGGCTGCGGGTCCTGGGGGTTGCGAATGGTCTGGCGGTGACCTCCGGCCGGCCCCTGGTGCTGGCAGATAGAGCTGGTCACTTACTCGTCTCGTTTTGCCTCTGTTTAGAAATATTGCTTTGCCGCAGCGCATTTTTGCTAATTATATAGCAAGGCCCTCGGAACGATCCGTTACTTGGTTTTGGTTTCCAGAAGATTTGGATTGTGGAGGCTTTAACTGTTGGCAAAAGCAAGCAGTTTGCTTGCTCCCGGGATTCAGCGTGTTTATGTGGAAAGAGCGAGAGTAGCCACGGTATAATTTTCTGGCCTTTAATCACTACATGTAAGATAAAGTTGCTTTATAGGCACCACACTGACTGAACAGGCGTATGGTTTTGTAGAGTTGGTCGTCAAAGACCCGACTTGAAATTGTCAGGCTTTATGCTTAGAGTTCCTAGAAGTTAGCAGCTTCTTGGAGTATTGTTCTTGGCTGCAAGTAAACTGCTCACCTCAAAATAAATATTTCGACCTGCGATTCCTGAGAATTTCAATCTCAGCACTTGTTCCTGAAGACACCTGACAAACCTTTTTGTGATCTCACACTTTTATCCTTGAGTTAAACACATACTTCTTCACAAACAGAAATATATAATTTATAGTTGGAAGTATACAGGTCAGACAGAGACCACATTCCAGATCACAAAATCTCTACTTACCTGAGAAGCAAACCTTTTGGCAACATATATACTCATCTTTATCATATTGACTGTTTTGTTTGTGTGTACTGACACACTCATAAGTACGTATTTATGCGGAGCTTCCACAATCCAGCTTGCTGGGCAGCAGCTTGTGGTCTGGTCCATTCATGAAAGAAGACTTGTCGCTCATGTTATAATAGTGAGACATCGGAAGCATTGGGAAAGCTGCTTTTGTTGCATTAGCACCTTATGTTTCACCTCTGTAAAGTTTACTTTTCCATTAAAGTGCACAAATAGTTGTTGAAGGAAGGAGAAGGCAGGGGGCAGTGAGTTCATACACTCACATTGTGTAGTTAATTTGTTGATTTTGGAGAACTTCAAGTTATTTTTCTTCTGCAAAAAGTTGT